TGCCTGTGAGAAGCCCCGCCCGGCCGGTCTCCAAGCCTTCCTTTTCCTCCCTTCCTCCAAGCTTCTCGGTTCCCTCCCCTGAGGTACCGGCGCCATGTCCAGCGCTCGGACCCCCCTACCCACGCTGAACGAAAGGGACACGGAGCAGGTAAGGAGCCCTTAGGGCTCCCCCAATTCTGTGGCTGGGCCCCTGCACCTTGCGGAGCCTCCTCCCTCTGCTCTCCTCGTGCTCTTACTGTCTTCTGCAAGCCTCGGCTGTCCTGTCATCTGGCCCCGGGCTCTAGTCCCGCACATCTCTCTTCCTAGTCCTGACCTGGGACCCCACCTTGTCCTGACTGAGCTACACACTCTTCTGCCAAAACGCCCCTTGTCTCTCACTACCCTCCTGCGTTCTTCCGTGCTATCTCCCTAGCTTCCCCTTCTCTTCCCTTTTCTCTCAGGGGCCTTTCTGGTCTTCCTCCACCCACGCTTAAAGCAGCCACCTTCCTGCTCCTCGAATAACACCCCGCGATTTGGGGCGGGGTGTTTCCCCCCTCTTCCTCCTTCTTTCCCCTCTGCCCGCACCGGCTTCCCCAGTCCCTCGGTTTTCTCCCTTAAGGGTCTTTACCCCGAGTGTGTTCTCTGTCCCTGTCTCCTTTCACTTCCCCAGCTTTTTCTATCCTCCTTTCCTGTTCCAAATTGGGCTCTCCCTGTTGCTTGCAACCCACCAGCTCCACCCTCGTCACCTTTCCAAATTGTTCGCCTACTCTTTGCTCATCACTTTCCCTTCTTTTCGGCAGGAGCTCCCTGGCTCCTGGCACTGGCATGTGTCGCTTCCGTGTTTCCCATACAGCTGTCATGCGCATAGTTTTCCCACAGGTTGCCTTTGGGGTTCCAGTCACCGCTCCCTTCAGAGTCTTTGGATCGGTCCTGTTTCTTGCCCCCATTGGGATTTGACATTTAAGTTCCTGGGCCTCCTGTCCAAATGGTCTTTCAGATTATCCCTGGGCTGTCCCTCCATTATGGGAAAGACACTGTTTCAACGTGGCTGGATTAACATAACCTGTTGCTCAGTCTTTCCCAGACTGCATCAGCTGCATCAGTCCCTGCGTTACTGCCTACTTACACTGCAACACAAATTAGGATACTGCTTGTCTCCACACCGGTGCCTGTCACTTCTCATAGTATCCTAGTATCTTCCTCCTTGTTTGCTACTTCCTGTTGCTCAACCTCCCCCCATCTTTCTTACTATATGCCTCTTAATCAGTGCTACTTTTCGTGTCCGCGTGGGTCTCCTACCCTCTTCACTGTTTATTTATACCTCTTATGCTCTGTTCATTCCCTCTTTTGGCCAGTCCTTGCCATTCCCAGGGTGCACGCTAGCTGCTTCTGCTGCAGGTCAGTCACTGGGCCCTATGCTTTCCCTTTCATCCTGGCAATCACTGCCATTTGTCTCCCAAGCGTTTTCCTTTTCTGTGTCATTCTTTCACTTCTGAGCCAAGGTGTCCACTTTCTACTTCTCTCCTTTGTTTGACTGTCACCCGTGTCCCTTGCTGCCTGCTTTTTGGACAGTCCCCTTCCTGTCATACGTTTGTGAGTGAATTTTAGTAAACACAAATTTGTGTGAAAAAAGGAGCATACTTTGCCTCCAGCCCCCTTTGTGTTTCCCTCTTGTTCCCTGGTTTTTGGTTTTTTTAGCCAGGTAGGTTAGAGCTGCTGCTGTATTTGCTTAGCATTGACTTCTTTCTTTGAAAAGACTTCTTTTACTCTTTACTGTACTTTTTGCCTTGTTATCTTCTTGCTGACTGTTACCTGGGCACTTAGGAGCTAAAAAGGCATCAGAACTGAGTTTTCTGTTGTCATGGTAGATCCATACTACCTATGGACTGTTTGCTTTTGGGGCAAAGTAGGGGTTGAGAGGGAGGGGTGGTTGATTATTTATTTCATCACTGGGCTTTGCAGCTTTTCCTGCCTCGGATACATGTCTCCGGAAATTGAGGAGCTTGGTCTGTGTTACAGTCCCTTGCTTGCCAGTTGCATCTCTTCTGGGAAACACTTTGTCTAGGCTCTTTTGAGGTTGCTCTGTACATCCCTTTTCCTCTTACCTTTGTTTTAGTAGGTAGGCCTTGCCTAACTGGAGAACTTTCCCAGATGGTTGAGTATGAGCAAGGAGGAGGCAGGGTCTTTGGGGATTTGGGCATTTGGGGATGTGTTGGCCTGCCTGTTCCCCAGAGAGGTAGAGGCTGTGGGGCATTGTGCTGGGCCGAGAGAATGGCCTCAGTGCGGTTTACTAATGTAATTGGTTACTTGCTCTTTTTCTTGTGATGTGTGTTCAGATGAGTTTCACATACTTTTGGATCATATAGTTGTGATTTGGTGCATGTACACTGATTACAGGAGAGTGATACTCAGTGACCAGTTGGCACCTGAGCCACTCTGTAATAACTTAGTCCAGAGCATAGGCTGCATTGTCACCCTGCTCCTCTTTGGCTCCATTCTTCATGAACTTAGCTGTATTGAGCCAGTTCCTGGTTCTCCATTCAAACTGTCAACTCTGAGGAAAAGAGCTAAATGCGCACCTATTACAGGTGCCTGGCTGTTTCTTTTTGTTTCTAATGCTCATGGGGATTGGATCAGGGCTATGCTCTTGATAGACAAGTGCTCTATGCTAAGTGACACCCCCCCCCCAGCCCAACCCTGTATTCTTTAGAAAAAGAAAAAGGGCAAGAGACAGCTCCTCAAGCATCCAACTTCTGTAGTGTAGACCCTGCCTGCCCCCTTAGTCCCATTGCAAATGGTAAAACCATTGTGGAAGCTCAACCATTGTAGTAGCCTCAGTTAGAAAATTAAAAGCAAGGAATTGGTTGGGCAGATCCCTCTCCACTGTCACCTTATTTAGATTTAAATTATTTAACTGGTTTTACCAAAGAACAGGTAAACTCCAGCAGACATTTCCAATCTCTTTTTCTGCCGTTTCTCCTTCTTTAAAATTGTGGTTGATAAGCTGTTTCCAGCAGCTCTTTGATCACATCTGAAACGCATACACAGAACATGTTGAAGCATAAAAATAAACCTTATGTTGTAGGAGATTGCCTGTTTGCTGTCAACTCTGCTTCTAACAGTGGAAGTAGGAGATAAAAGAAAGCCAAGCTCTGTCTTGATGATTTTGGTGACACCTGATTTTAGATGTGCATTTTCACCCTAGATGGCTTCCTTTTGCAGGATTCTGACCTGGAGCTAGTAGTTTTGGGGTTTCTTAAGTCCGAGGTGAGCTTTCTGAGAGCTGCTTTTCTAAATGGCTCTGCTGGCCTGGAGGCTTGGCAGCCTTGAAAGCAATCAGCAAGATGACTGTTTGTCTTCCAGCCAGCAGCAGCCTTAATAGTCAAGTGTGGAGAAGGGTACAACTTCCAGAGTTCACCTGCCTCTGGCTAGAGCTTTCCCTAACCCCTGGGGGAAGGGACACATGACTTCAGACCTGGAAACAAGAGGGTACCTGATAGAGGGAGCCCTTTGGCACCCATCAGATGACAATGCTGCCCTAACCCTTCTAGAGAGTAGGTGGCAGAAGATATTCTCAAGGAAGACTGATGAGGAAGGCAAATCTAAGTTACAGAACCCTGTAAAAACATATCTGAAGGTTGGTGAAATGGCTTAGTGAGTAAGGGCACTTGCCACCAAGCCTGATAGCCTGAGTTGGATTCCTGAGATTCATACACTTGGTGGAAGAAGTAAGCCCACTCTTTTTTTTGCAAGATGTCCTCGGACTTCCATACACACATGTGCACTCTCTCTGCTTCTCTCTCTCTCTTTCACATACACTAAATAATGTAATAATTTTTTGTTTGTTTGTTTTTTTGTTTTTCGAGACAGGGTTTCTCTGTGTACCTTTGGAGCCTATCCTGGCACTCGCTCTGGAGACCAGGCTGGCCTCGAACTCACAGAGATCCGCCTGCCTCTGCCTCCTGAGTGCTGGGATTAAAGGTGTGCGCCACCTACGCCGGCATGTAATAATTTTTAAAATAACAAAAGAGTCTCTCACCCAGCCGGTTGTGGAGGCTTTGAACACCAGGTTCTCTGGAGGCTGAGGCAGGAGAGTCACAAGTTCAAGGTCTGTCTGAGTTACAGGATAAATTCAAGGCTAGCAACTTAGTGAGACGTTGTCTCAGAATCCAAAGTAAAAAAAAGACTGGAGGTATAGTTTAGTGGTGTATCATTTGCCAGCATTACAAGGCTGAAGACTCAATCTCCATTGAGTTGGATTTGAGGAGGGCCTTGGGGTAAGAATTAAGCCATTCCATATACATAGTGTGAGACTCCAGTTTCATTTTTGGCTAACACTGGACCAAATTCTTCATTTTTGAAGATGTGGGATTCTGTGATTTGACTTTTGATGGTGGGGCTCCTTGTGGGGCTTCTGCCTTCTGGGTGGAGATGCTGCTGGGCCTTAGAGATGCCACATGAGGGTTGTTGAAGTAGTGTTTCTCTGAGACAGTGACTTTATACCCTTTGACTTTAAAATAACTCTCTAGTGAATTACAATAATGCCTCTCCATTCTGTGGATTTGGGAGCTAGTAAACAGATGGTACAAGTAAGTGGTTCAGAGTTGGTCTGCTTCAGATTGAAATCAAGTTTGCATAGGAATAGCTGCATCTTTTAGACTATGACCATAGCTTGGGCTGGGAATCTCAAGCATACATGTCTTAGGCAAAGTTGCTATCTATGAGGTAGAAAGGTGGACAGTCTTGTTTGCCTGAGAGGTTAGCATGGTGAGTGAGATCTCTCAGGAGTTGGCATTTCTCTGGCTAGACTGTTTCCCTTTGGACAGAACGGCATGATTCTCAGTGAGCATTTGACTAGTGCTGACCTAGGCCTTCATGAACTGTTTCCCATGGAGCACTTAGCCACCTAACTGGCATTCTCTTCCCCCAGGAACTTCCATGATGCTCCTATATATGTATTATGTTGACTTGAATGAATATTTTATGCTTATAGTGCAGTCAGGCCTCAGACTTTGTGGCACATTACTGACAAGTGGGATGGGGGCTGGGCGCCACCCTTGGCCCCATGATAGTGTCTGTGCTAAATGGACTCCCAGCAGCACTTTGAAGCCCATTAGTGAATTGGGATGTAGTAACTTCAGCAGATGGAAAGGGCCAGGAGGCTGGTTG